TCTCTCTCTCTCTCTCTCTCTCTCTCTCTCTCTCTTTCGGCTGCCCAGGTTTTGGGCGCCACTCCCCGGCTGCCTAGGTGCCTCCCGATGTTTTTTGGAACTGCAAGTTACATTGTTTAATTGGTTAAATTATTTTCCACAGCTGAAATAAATGATAGTGTGGAGCATGCTATAGAACTTGCAGAGCTGCTTCACAGATGGGGCAGTGGCTATCATGTGAATATTATACCTTTCAATCCCATCGAAGGATCACAATTTCGGCGGCCATACAAGAAACCAGTAAATCCCTTCCCCTTTCTCTCTCTCTCTCTCTCTCTCTCTCTCTACTTTCTCATACTGGTGGATAAGTAGAGACCTAACCAGCATAACTGCTTCATCAAATGCTACTGGAACACATTTAGGCCTGCTGCCAATAACACCATTTTCCATGTGAAACTTGTTTTGAAGGAGATGGTAAACCAGACTGTCACTGGATTTAAAATATTATACTGTGGCAGTGCCCGGTCTCTCAAAAAGTGCAAACTTTATTCTTTTTTTGAATATCTTCTGCCAAATTATCTTATGGCGATTATGATCTCAGTTACCAATGGAGAGAGAAGTTTCGGTTCTACTGTATTATAAAGAATAAATGTGATTGTCCTATATTTTGATCATTGCGTACTTGAACTTTTCCAAAACTGTTGAAATCCTGTTAATACATATGCTTTTCTTTTTTGTCGTTAGTGAAGGGCATTTCCACTTCTCTATGGACTATCAAGTCCACTTCTGGTTGGTCATCCTTGGTATTCTAGTCTACTGTTCGAAATAGCTCTGGCCTTCAGTTTTCAAAATGGCATTTCAGCCAAACAGTTTGCATGAGAGAGAGAGAGGGAGAGAGATTCATTCAGTGTCATGGTCTTATTGAAACAAATAAATGCATTTCTCAAAATTTTGCCACTAGCCATTTTCTTCATTTTAGGACACTATTGGTAGTCCCATAATTATATTATAAATGGCAAATATATTGTTATTTCTTTAGAACCATTGGTATTTCTACTTCTTATATGACATATTACTTGCACTCTAATTTCTTCTATAATCTGCAGATACTTGCATTTGTGGCGGCTCTTGAATCCCGTAAAATAACTGCGAGTGTGCGGCAAACACGTGGGTTGGATGCCAGTGCTGCCTGTGGGCAGCTGCGAAATGAGCACCAAAAGGACCCCCTTTCTGTCTTGAGATAAGCTAAATGAAATGTAAAGTAGAAACAAAAACCCTCTATTACTATACAATGCCTGCCCATGAGCTTTGGGCAGCATGGTTTTGAGAAGAGGCTTGGTGACACCCTTTTCGGTCCGTGAAGAGGGCGCTGTAAACTTGCGAGGGGGAGAGAGAGTTCTCATTTTTTATTTTTTTTTGAAGAAAGAGATATTTTGCCGCAATACTCAGGAAGGTAAGATTTTGGCTATGTATTTTTTTGTACTGATAACTATTGCACAAAAGCTCTCATCTTTTGGTCAGGGGTTTTAGAACCACTGCATATGGTCTTGGATACCAAGTCATTACCCATTGAAAAGAAGAAAGGAACATGGCATTTGTCTGTGAGATTGTGCAGGGAAAAGAAGAGAAAAAGGGCAATGAAAGCTAGAGAATGGGAGTCATCCGGATCCATACCTACATTGTCAGCTTGGTAATGAAAATATCGGATCATATGCAAAATTGTCTGTTTCAGCTTCGCAGGTGAGCCATTGCATTATTTTTTAAAACGATTCAAAATGTCTTATTATATTGTTTACATCAAATTGTCCATCTTCTGCTCTTTGAAGCTTCTCAAATGGATTATGCCATTATCTTTTGAAGAGATATCAGGTGACTTTATTATGTTGTTTGACAGGGAAGGTCATAAAATGGACGATTAAAGTAACTGTTAACTAATTTATCATAAATTTCTCTTTCCAATATCAGTTACTTCGTAAACCAAAAGTTATCTGCATGAATATCTTGAATTCAGTTTGTGTATATTATCGGAACTTGAGCAGTGTTATTTGGATTCTATAAAAACCATGGTGTCGCATGTCGACACTTAGACTCCTATCAAAATGGTGTCAATACTTATTTCGTATATTAAGAGGCCTAGGCCTTGCAATGGAGTTGCCCTTCTTGACCCAGGAGGTCTTGATGAGGGTTTTTGTCTTAGTTAAAACTAATTGTATTTTAAAGTTCATATAATGTTGCAATTTTATATTATAGAAGTAAGGTGCACGTAAAAAATCCTACATAATAGAGTATTCTGGTGTCAGAGAACCCTCTAATTTATCATCTCGACCTCAAGACATACGGACATGAAGACAAGCAAATTTCAAGAAAAGTTATATGGACCATTTTTTTTTTTCAAGATTTTCAAGTATTTATTGATATGCTTGATATGTACGATTTTTTAAGTTCTAAATTTTATAATTAGAGATAAAAATAGATTTTTAAGCATCATAAGATTTTCGTCATTGGAAAGATATCTTTGAGCTACTTTTAGAAGCGCATGTAGAAGGTACAAAGGCAACCTTATACAAAACCTCACCCTTTAATGAATAACGTTCTATAAATTAAAAAAAAAATATTAAAAACATAATATTTACGCATATGTTTTTTCATGAAAAAGTTTATATAAGGTGTCAACGGTATATTGTAGAAGTAAGGTGCACCTCAAAGAATGTTGTTTTGTCACTAGAAAATTCTCCAATTGATCATTTTGACCTCTCTATGTATGGGTATCAACGGAAAAATGAGTTTTAAGTTTTAGAAACATTACATCCTGTAATAAATTATTTGGACCATCCAAGTTTAAGATTTTCAAGTGTTCATAGATCTGCTGGATCTGTACCATTTTTGGAACTTTCAATTTCATAATAGAGATGAAAAATAGACTCTTAGGCCATGATGAGAGTTTCGGCACCGAGAATACATCTTTTAACAAGATTTTGAGGTGAAGCAAGTCACACAGATTTTACAATATGTTCCAGTTAAAGGGCAGGAGTGCAGGGTTTTCTCTCTGCACACACTCATGGGCATTAATGAATATATTATTTGTTGATCCTTAAGACATTCACGATGTGACTCCATCTTTTGCTATTTCTGAGCTGTGCAGTTGAATTAGATAGGGAGAGAGGGAGCAAGTTGAATGTATAATACCCCTCTGCCCAATAACATGAGGAAGTTAGGAATCATTCTAATTAATTTAAATGAGGAAATGTGACCTAGTTTTGGATGGGTTTGGTAAATAGCAGTTCTTTTGGACTCAGCCAACTTAGAAACAAAATATATAAAATTCAAAATATTTAAATAAAATTTAGGAACCACGAAATTATTCATGAAACAATGGTTTAATAATAAGAATCGTTTTCTAATGCAATTTGTAGGTTTATTTGGCCGAGTTCTGACTTAGATAAAATTGGAACAGCTACTTGTTGGTTATGGTTCGACTTGGGCGGGGTTTCAAGTCAGTGTACTGATAACTGAGATACTGTTATATCACCAAATGCACATTTTTGTGTGGCATCCATCAATTTGAGTCTTAAGATTAAAAAATAAAGGCAGCTCCAATTGAACTGATTGATTAAAGTTCGGATCTAAAATCCATTTCTAATATGAATTTTGGGGAGGAACCCTGTGCTTTAAATACATACCCTCTCCATCACTTCATGCTTTGGTGAGACAACGTGTAGGAAAGTGAATAGCGATCCTATATCAACATACCTTTTATACTGGAAGCAAAGAGCATCATGTTCCCATGATCTTTTCAACAGTGCCAATATTACCTCATCCCATTGAGTTTATATATATATATATATATATATATATATATATATAGTAGTATATACTACTACTACTACCTACTAACTAACTAAGTAGATAGAGAGAGTAGTAGTAGTAGTTAGTTATTTTAGTTTTTTAGTTTTTTGTTTAATTTACGTTTTAACGTTTTTTAAAAACGTTTTTTAAA